CAGCAAACTTGAACAGGGTGCTTTGCACCCCCTCATCCAGGGGGTTAACCAGGGGGTTAAGCAAACCCCCTGTTTGCTTAACAGTCATTAGCAATTTGTTTTGACAGGGGTATGTGCCCATTATTCTGTTTGGAGATGTGACCTTGAAAGCTAAATGACAGTGGGCCAAGAGTTACGCTGATCAAACAATAACCATCAGTTCACTTTAGCCATTCTGTATTACACCCTATAATTATTTTTGCCTTAATAAATATCATAGAATCATAGAAAATTAGGGGTCCTCAGCAGGACCATCTAGTCCAACCCCCTGCTTAAAGGAGGACCATCCCCAACTAGATAATTCTAGCCAGTGATTTGTTGAGCCCAGCCTTAAAAACCTCTGAGGATGGAGGTAACCCAACTCCAGTGCTTCACCACCCTTCTACTGAGAGACCTTTTCCTGATATCCAACCTAAACTTCCCTTGCTGCAACATGAGACCATTGCTCCTTGTTTTGTCACCTGTCACCACTAAAAACAGTCTAGCTCCATCCTCTTAAAGGATAGAGGATGCTTTAAAAGCTGCTATCAAATCCCCCCTCAGACTTCTCTTCTCCAGAATAAATAAGCCTAGATCCTTCAGCTTCTCCTCACAAGTCATGTGCCCCAGTCCCCTAATCATTTTTGTTGCCCTCCACTGGACTCTCTCCAATTTGCCCACATCCTTTCTGTAGTGGGGGGCCCCAAACTGGACACAGTACTCCAGATGTGACCTCACCAGTGCTGAATAAAGGTGAAGAAAGGTAATCATAGTCCATTTATTTAAAGCAATAATAGTCCAATTATTAACAGCAATATTAGTCTGTTAACTAATTTGACAACCTTTAGACGTGAAGGGTTATGAAATAATTTGGGCTGTAATCAGCACTGAAGTGTAGCCTTCTGCTCCAAGAATTCCTCATGATGCATAGGAAGGCTCAGCCATAGTCATTCACATTTAGGGAGAAAGCTGAGGAAGACTGAGAGGGCAGGGAGGATCTACCAAGGCAACATTTTCTCTCCTGTTTCCACACTTTCAAACCTGGTCTCTGTGAGCAGTGTTGTGGTGGCCACTGGGAATGGATATACCTTTGATAAGACAGTTTTACAAACTGTCATTCAGATAGAGCCAGAGCAAAAAAAAGTTATTTAAAATTATTCTAATAAAGGTAACATCCCCTTCCCCTTGTAACCAATTTGCCAAAACAAACAGTATCCTTTATAATCAGTTTTAGAAACAGGAAACTAACACAGAGGAAGCTGAAATACAGATGTGCCAATAAGTCTTCCACATTGTAGTGGATAGCAGGACAAATTCATTGACTTCAGTAGTACATGTGCTCCAATGACTACTGTGACTTGCAATTTTGCATGATGGGTGGTGGGTGGACATTTTTTTTTTTCACTGTCAGTGAGAATTCCCTAATCTCAGTTCAACCATAACAGTAACAAATTTTGTTCTTCTTGTCACTCTCAGATTTCTCATCTTTGCCAGTTATTTATTTTTGTCCTGCCAAACAGGTGAAATTGCAGTCCTGCCTCACCAAGTGCATTCATGACCACCTTCTCTTAAATGTTGACAATCTGACCTATTTGCGAGCAATAAAATACTTGTTGAAAAACATTTTGGTGAGGGATGTGGGAATGCCTGTCTGGAAAGGGCTGTAGAGTTAGAATTTGACTGGCCATCTTCATGGCAGAGACTCTCACATTCCCTCTGCCCCCTCTCCATCCTCAAAACTTAGGTATAAATTATTCCCTGTAAGAACAGGGAAAAATGCAGGTTAGATTTCAAATGCTCTGTTAAATGTTTGTGTAAAGTCTATCACATTGGGGTACTGCCCTCTAGGTGTTATTGTAGTACAACATACATAAAATATTGCATGCAGTTGTATGCACCTTTGTAGATACCACAGACTTCACATTACATTCATGTGCTCTTTATAATGTTAAAATAACCATAAAAGCAAATCAAATATGTTAACACAGATTGCCTGTATTTAGAATGATTATTTCTAATGCTAATCAACATAAGAAATATACATATACATAGGAAAGTGCATCAACATAACTCACAAGCAGAACCAGAACAAATGTCAGTGTCATGAGTGTACTAGTTAAATGAATACTTCAGCTTTTTTCATTATTTTCACCAGTTAAACAAATAAGACTATTGTTTAACCCAGCAGAACTGGTTAGAGCTGTACAACAGGCACGGGGGATTAATTAAAATTATGATCCTCAATAGGATGCATTTTGTAACAGGAAGCGTAAAGGCTCAGCTGAATTTAGAAACAGTCATAGAGCCAAGCATTTGTGCTATCCACAGATGCTTGGAAAGGAATACACAAAAATGGCAGCATAAAAATTCAGTCTGGCTGGGACTAAAATTCACAATCACCTTCCAATTATTTCCAATATTTCACTGTGTGTGACCTCGAATAACATCAGCTTCATTTTTTTATCCGGCATTTGCATAGTTAGTCTATTGCTTCTAATGATTCACTATGTAGAATATCTTGTGTGATCCAATATGTAACCAGGTATGTCGATTGCTGTGGGGAAATCCCATAAAACTTTAGAAATGTGATATTTATGTAATTGTATTTTTACACAAATATCTCTGGAGGTATGCCTAAAATATTTGCTCTTGGGCTTAGCTTGGTTTCCTTGCACATTCAGAAGGATTTTGTAGCACAGTTGGAATCAAACAGTAGAAAGCACCCTGCACACACAGTAATTTGTGAACAAATTAGGACTCTGCTTAAGCAGTACTTATATTTGTCTTCATGCGGATTCTTTCAGGCCCTTTCTCAAAGTTTTTATGTATACATTTCTAGGGATACTATAGACATGTATATACACAACAAAAATCAGACTAGTGTACAGCATAAATGCTAAGGTGGTTCACAGAATGTCAAGGAACCTTTCCTATGTTGATGTAGGCATAAGGACAACACTATGCAACCACAAAGGCATAGGACAAGTTTGTGCCACAAGGAGCCTGCAGCTTGAATAAGCAGGACAGACAAGACACAGTACAAGAGAAGTATTATTTTACAGATGGAGAACTGAGGCACAGAGACACTAAGAGTGAAAGCTTGACCCCACTGATTTAAGTGAATGGCAAAAATTGAATTGATTTCAATGGGGCAAGTATTTCATCCTCAGTGATTTGTCCATTGTCATGCAGAAAGTCTGTAGTAAAGCTAGGAACTGAATGCACATCTCCTAAGCTCCAGGCCAACGTCTCAGCCACAACCACAAGGTCTCAACCTTCTTGTAAATTGTTTTCTTAAACTCAGTTTCCTTCTAATTAATTTTACATATATGCTTGCATTTGTGCACGTGTGTGAGTCTGTGTGTGTGTGTGCATACACATACACATGCTTTAGTTTTTGTCAGGAGCTTGAGAAATAGGCTATTCATTTGTAAACCCAGAAGCTATTAATTCTCCTATGGATTTCAAAAGAAACCTGGTGAAGGGGGACAGAGAGGGTCAAAGCTGTTAATCTGACACTGTGTTGTCTCAGGAAGTGCAGAGCACAAGTTGTGTAGTTACACTCAGAACATAAGAAACTCCCTGCCTTCTACAGGAAGGGGTTGAGACCATGGACAAACTTATACACTGCTTTGCAATATTATGAATGTACATATCTTTGAGGATGTTTTTTTTTTTGTTTTTTTTTACCAGAAGTTCAACTTTAAAAATGGAATGTGATTTTGTTGGACTGGGACAGATACCAGTGCTTGTGAAGCAGTTTGGGGGAGGGGGGTGAACCTGATTCTTAAGAATACATCAAGCTCTTAAGGAAGTAGATTGTGCCATGTTTGAAGATGCAAAGATAATCACAGTGCTGGGAACCGTCTTGTGTAGAGGAGGAAACCAAACAACAAGAGGAAAGCAGCATATGCTCCTGATTTCGCACAGGAAGCTCACAGCACCTCCTGCCAAAGTGAGATAAGAAAACTCCCATGGCCTATTCTGGAC